CACTTCCTGGATCTCTCTTCAGCGGCTCGTATGTGGCCATGTCGCTAAGGAGTGTCATGATCTTATCTTCATAGTCCTTCTGGTTCAGAATAATTGTGCACCTTCCTTTGTCTGCTGGAAGAATGATGATGTTCTTGTCCTTGCTGAGGGTAGTGAGAGCGTCTCTCTCTTCTCTGCTGATATTAGAAGGTGGTGGTTTGGCGTTGCTGAGGCAGGCTGAAACTTTATTCCTAAGTTGCTCTGCTTCAAATCCTGGGATTTTGTTGTTTCGAATGGCTGATTCTGTGGCTGTAATCATCTCAACMAAAGGGATTCTTGTTGGTGCGACCGCAAAGTTCAGTAAAGAACCCGTCCAGAGGACCTATACAATTTTTTTTCCTTTTGATTTTTTACCTGGATTACTGAGATGCATCAGGACATGTTGATCAAGACCATTTTTAAGTGGTGTTGATCATAATTTGGCCTCATAGAACCAATGAGTAAATCTGATGAGCCAATGCAGTCAGATGACTTGAACATCTTGCAGCCATTGTATCGACCACCTCTGTAAAACTAAATATTCTGAAGTCAGATGTGAGACCATCTGTCTAACACAAGTTAGGAGTCATCAGAACTCTGTACCACAGAGAAGACAGTGTCCCCACAAATACAGGAGCCAGGGAGAAAGAGAAGTCATACACAAGACAGGCTCTGGAGCAGTGTGGTTATCCTAACTGGSCTTTTCTGAAAGCAGACAAGAAACCCAAACAGGATTCCAGCCAACAACCAGGTGAAAATGAAGACCCTAAACCCAGACCCAAACCAGTCATCATTCCATGTGTGGCAGGAGTTTCAGAGAAACTGAGATGTTTTTTCTCTAARCGTGATGTCCCAGTGGCTTTCAAACCCCAAAACACGTTACGACAAAGATTAGTTCACCCCAAAGGTCCAGTTCCCCGGCAAAAACCAGTAATATAGTATATGCTGTTAAGTGTCAGGAGGACTGTGATCAGYTATACATTGGGGAAACAAAACAGCCACTATTCAAAAGAATGAGCCAGCACAGAAGAGCTACATCGTTGGGTCAGGACTCTGCAGTTTTCACTCATTTACAGGCCAGTGGTCACTCTTTCAGGGATGAAGATGTTCTCATCCTTGATAGAGAGGAATGTTGGTTTGACAGAGGAGTAAAGGACGCCATCTTTGTGAAGAAAAACCRTCCACCATTAAACAGAGGTGGAGGCCTTCGTGTACAGTAATCCTCCTCCAACAAGGCTGTTATTGCAAGTATGACTCAGCCCCTTGTGAGCAAAAGGTGTGAATCAGGGCCCCAACAATAACCAATACAAAGAAGGGAAAAAAGACCAAAACAAGGGGATGTCAAGCCTCACCTGCATTCACAACATACACGACACGACACCTAAGAACCACAGCATCCAAACCAATACGTCAGGTGATGGGGCACATGACCCTTCTAATCAAGCCTATTGTTAGGCGAACGATGGTCCTCTTTTGCATGTGACTAACCTGTTTGTCCATGTGGAGGCAGTGCTTATAAGGCTGAGTTCACCTGAAACTCATCAGACTGAAGAAGTCTCTTGGAGGAGAGACGAAACGTTTCACTAAAGAAGAACCCATCCAGAGGACCTACTTTTTTYCCTTTTTCATTAAGAAATTAGAGGATTAAAAAAAGGAACTTTAAAGTTTTATTGGACTATCTGTACATCTGACAACAGGGTAGAGGTACAGAAAGAGTAACAATTCCCAAAAAGAAAGTGGTGTTTCATTATAGAGCTGTTTTGTTCATTTTCAAACTGAGCTTGTGTCTTTCCAGGGTGCTGAAGGTATTCCTGTCCCGTACAGCTCAGAGGATCCCCTATATGACCAGCTGGCGAGTGTTACGCCTACTGGCCATCATTCTGCTCATCGTCTGCTGGTTCCTGGTGGCTTGGACATCTGCTGTCTGTCAGAACCCGGACAGGAAGTTGGCACTCATCGATGTGGGCTTCACGCCCGACGACCGTCAGTTCAGCATGTGTCTCCTGGATCGCTGGGACTACATGATGGCTGTCGGTGAGCCCCGAGTTTGCCCTCTGTACACCCAGGGGGCTCTAAATAGATTGAAAAACATCTCACTCTGTGTGTGAGTTTACTGTGGAGAAAACATGGAGTGTTTGATAAATTCCTGGCTTAAATTCAGAAAATAATTTGTTTGGCATCACAGCACTGGTCGTGGAAAAAGTGTAAGATGGATGCAACTTTTTGGGATGCTCTTTTACACAGAGGGGCAGCAGAGGAAAGCAGATAAAATAAAATAAAATAAAGCATCAATGCTCTGCGGGAGGAGCAGCATCTTTCACTGTTCTCTGCTTTTATGCCTGCCAGCTCGTGAGTTATGAGAAAGAAAAAGTAATTTTTGACATCCAAGCAAACAGATGGACCCCAAGCAGAGCCACCGTGCTGTGCGACTGTATACTGAGCATGCAGCCTCAGTCTGTTCATTAGGAAGTAAAAATAAGCTTATGCAAGTCAGCGCTGTCTCCACACGAACACGAGTCATCATTTAGATACACAGGGATGCAACACATTTCTCAGATTTTGAAAAAATATATTAAAAATCCACCTTCTTTGGCTCACAGACAGAGCTCTCCTTCTAGTGCAGTTTCTTTCTGGCTCTGAAGCGATTATACATTTTAGAAGTGAAGACCTGAACATGCACTGCAAAACTCCACCATCAGCACAATTAATCAAAAACAAGAACACATTGGATTTGTCCATACTTTAAAACCCTGCTGACTAACCATGAACGATTACTATTATAGTTTTGCGCTGTAAAACCTTGCATTTGACATTAAGAGATAAAAATTAAAAGGCGTCCGTGGAAAATATGTGACCTCCCCACTTTTCAATGCAGAATTCATGTTAAATCATGCTGAAGGCTCATTTTTCCCTGTAGTTTGAAAAATGATTTCATTTTAGAAACAAATAAACAGTAAAGCTTAAGAAAGGTCAGTGATCAGTGATTGCTGCTGATACTTTCCAAAGTGTGTAGTTCCAGTAGGTTGTTTACCTCTGTGGAGCTTGAAACCATAGAAACATTTCCTGGTTGTCACAGAGGTACATGGGGACTCATTAATTGCTATGAGAATACGACCACAGCTGTTCCATACAGCATGTTCAAAATAGTGTTTTCCTGTATACCTGAGCCACACTTAATGACCTGAGTGTTGAACTGCGACAGCAACAGGTTGATTGGTTCACTTTTTGGTGGTGCATTTTTGCAAAGATTCATGCTTTTTGTTTAGATGTTGATGTATACCACTTCTATCCTCCTCATCTTTTGCAGCTGAGTTCCTCTTCCTTCTGTGGTCAGTGTACCTTTGTTACGCCGTCAGGACCGTGCCATCGGCTTTCCATGAGCCTCGATACATGGCCATCGCTGTTCACAACGAGCTGGTCCTCTCTGCCATATTTCACGTGATCAGGTAATCCCACCTGCTCCCAATCTTCTCACTTCCTCAGAGCATTTACTACAGTATATATGAATTTAAAGGGCCATTGAAGGCCATGGAACAGGTTATTTAAGTTGGTTTAGGGCAAAGTAGCCTCCAAATTATTTTCAAATTTTCCAAGGAAATTTGCAACAACGATATTTATGACTACARGGAAAGTCAAAAGTCACAGGACACCGTTTTATTTCAGAAAGAAAAGGGAAAATTACATAACTGAATACCTCTGCAAGTAATGGGTGATGGGGGATATCTTTTAGGCTATGTCCAGAAAATGTCCACCATCTCAAAAGCAACCATACTGGCTTAAGGGCAAGTTTTTTCCAAAGATAGACCCCCTCACCCATTACTTGTTGGGGTATTCAGATATGTCATTTTCCCATTTCTTTCACAACTAAAAGAATGTCCTGTGACTTTTGATTCACTTRCATTTTTGTTTACACATTTAGCAGCAAATATTGGGTTTTGTAGGTCTTTCTTCTTGTAGCCAAACCACTTTAACATATATCTTACCAATATCCAAACATTGTCATTTCATTTCCCATAAATTCTAGCATACTGGAGCAGTATTTTGACACCTGTACAGAATGAACCTGAATGTCCAGGTCTAAAGACCACACAGATGACAAATAATAATTACAATAAATAAATAAATAAATAAATAAATAAATAAATAAAATCCAGATCTGTGTGATTCTCTGTAGGTTTGTGACGGTCATCAGGTTTTAGTCAGGTGCAAACTGGGTTCAAAACAAAGAGAATGTGTGTGAGTTGGTCAAGTGAGATATTATAGTAATTAAATCCTCCTTGGTTGAGAAACTCCTCACCAAACTTACGGAAGGAAAAACTTCAAAGCTCTGAGTCATTTCAGTTCTGGACTTTGCCTTCATTCTTGCTTCTAAGCGATTACGACAGAAACTTTGTTAATTAGCCATGTGCCGACTTCAGAAATGCACTGAGACCTCTGTTTGACATTTTCTTGCACGGGGGCTCTCCGGTGCTTGAATTAGCTTCAGACAGGACAAGCCTTTGCATCCAGAGTGCACACTCTGCTGAAAGCATTTTTGTTCACTTTAAATAAAAGGTTGGAGTGACYCCTTGCACTACTGTTGTTTCTGCCACTAATTATCTCATTTGCAACCAACTGCTGTGCCACCGGCAACCTACTGTCTTTACTATCTGACGTATAAATAAACCAAAATCTTGTGACCAGATCAAGGTCACACCTCTTCTCTCTCCCCATCTCTCTCTCTCTTTTTTTTTTTTTTTTTTTTTTTTTTTTTGCAAATCCTTGTGAAAGAGTGAAAAAAATCATTTGCTGGCAAAGATTCACTCAAGTGGAACATTATGTGAAGCAGTGGAACTGACAAGTGGACAGTTGACTCTGGCAGCTCCTCTTTAAAGGGTTTTAGAGCAGACACAGCATTATGTATGAAAGTCCCAGTTTAGTTCAACTTCACTGCAATGCCTGAGTGTACAAAAGAATTAATTTATGTGACTAAATAGTCAAATAATTTCTTTGTATAAGTCTAAAAATATGTCATTTGTTTTCAATGTTTTATTATCTGTCTGAATTATTTTTCTTGCCTTTTTTATTTTTATCTTTATCGATTCTGAGTTTTCTTATCTTCCCTTTCTCACAGGTTCACTCTTGCCCCTGAGCTCCATCCGGACTGGATGCTGCTGCTGTTCTTCACCCACACCCACTTAACTGTAACTGTTACTTTGGGTCTGCTACTCTTTCCCAAGGTAAGCATAAATGTCTTAAAATAAACTGTATTTATAGAAAAGTCAATGAAGCCATGATGTCATCACCAGTTGGTTTGTGGACTGGTATTGTCCAGCCTCTTGTCTGTCTCCATGTTGGGACTTAATCAGTTCAAATAATAGTCTGATGCAGTGGCGCTGTGGTGACAGCCAGTTTTGACCAGTTCTATGCAACTCCATCAGTTCCTGTTTGCYGGCACCCACATGAGGGATGACATAGCCTCTGAGGCCTACGAGGATGAGCTGGACATGGGTCGCTCCGGGTCGTATCTCAACAGCAGCATAACATCGGCATGGAGCGAGCACAGCCTGGACCCCGAGGACATTCGGGTATGCGTTGTTTTCATGCCCCCCTCCCCTTTTCCCCCCCATTTGTATAACCTGGCGTTATTTTGTGAACTCTTTTAAAAACACTGAGCCGTGGCAGTTTCTTATTGCAGACACCAGAAGAAATGGGCCATCTCAGTTCTATTAATGGCTGTGGCGTAAGGTCTTGTGACAGCCTTTGGGAAAAACGTACCAACGTGAGCAGAGATATCTGTTTGTCTGTTAGAGCTGAAGAAGTCTCTCTACCAAAAAGATTTGGGCGCATTGAGCCTGTTTTATTTTTTTGTTTGTTTTTCTTGGGGAGGAGGTTTTGTTATTACATCCAGGTGCTTGCAAGCATCTACTGTCTTGGATGAAGATACAGATGGAACTAATTCAGGACCCAAGATTAGAGGCTGTTTCAGACCTAACACTAAAACACATTGTTTCCTTATCTGATGCTGTTCAAAATAGTCTTGTCTTGTTTTTATTTTCAGCAAGCATGTGACATGCAGTAGTGCGTCTTTAACAACAGTTTGTAGTTGTCTGTCTTGAAGTGACGTGCATGTTCTCTGTGAAGTAGATTGACCACTTTTTGTAGAACCGCCTTGTTGCAGTTTTAAACTCACGATTTAAGGCAGTTAAAACTCAACACATTGCCTTTTTGTTCTTATACTTGTTTTAGGAGGAGTTGAAGAAACTGTACTCCCAGCTGGAGATTTACAAGAGGAAGAAGATGCTTGCAAATAACCCCCATCTGCAGAAGAAGCGAAGCTCCAAGAAAGGCCTGGGCCGCTCGCTGATGAGGCGCATCACCGAGATTCCTGAGTCTGTGCACCGGCAGTGCAGCCGGGAAGACAAGGAGGCAGGCGAGCATGGGAGCAATCGCAACAGCATCTGCATGCTGAAGAAAAGCCCCTTAGATCAAAGTCACCAAATAAAACCGGTGAAAGAAGAGACTTTAAAGAACAAGGTGTTCTCGCTGAAGAAGTCCCACAGCAGCTACGACCATGTCCGCGACCAGAATGAAGACACCAGTAACTCTGTGACAGACAAGATGGAGATGACCCCAGCTGAAGGCTCCATCCTGGACACACTCATGGGTAAGAAGCTGGTCAAGAAGAAGTCCAGCGAGAACGTTAATGTCTGCAGTGAGTCTACAGAGTCGGTCCCTTTAGTTTGCAAGTCGGCCAGTGCCCATAACCTCACTGCTGACAAGAAACCTATTCAACATCGAGCCTCCATGCTGCAGAAGTCCCTCAGCGTCATTGCCAGTGCAAAAGAGAAGACTTTAGGTTTGACTGGAAAGGCCCAAATCACAGAGGACAGCTATAAGAAGAGTCAGCCAAAGAGCAAAGACACTAGGGCAAATGCAGAATCGGAGAGTGAGCCAGATTCCAAGATGATAATCAGCCAGTCGGTTGAGCACAAACAAAGCTCCGCTAAAGGCAGGATCATTAAGCAGCCAGTAAGTGGCACACAACCTATAATCTGTTCCGATCCAGTCAAAGCAAAAGACCTCTATGACGTYTCAGAAGTGTGTCCCTGGGAACTGGAAGATCTTCCAACTCCGTCTGAGAACAAGATTCAGAAGCACGTGTCAATTGCGCCAAAGGAGACCACGACCATTCATGGAGGAAGCACTAAAGGAAGCAAATCTCAGAAGCAGAAAGCTTCTGATCAGTCTCCGTCRAGCGGTAAGCACTCAAAGGAGAGTCAGAGGACAATAGCCGCTCGGGCTGAGGTGTGTTCGTGGGAGGAAGGGGGTGAGAGACAAGCCAGTCCAACAGAAGGATCAAGGCAACAACTACAGAGTCAATCAAAGTCTAAGCAGCCTCATTCTTCGTTGGAAAGCTCCACAACATACCGGGCAGAGGTTTGTCCGTGGGACTTTGATGAGCTGCAGAAGACAACAGAATTAGCCCGATTGCCAGATTCAGCAAAGCAGAAAAAGAGCACCTCACCAGTGGATGGGAGAGGAACAAACACCAAACCAGATGCAGCAAAATCAGGAGCATCCCTCCAACCACCAATATCAAAAGTTGATATATGTCCCTGGGACTACGACAGCTCTGCAGTTTCTCCAACTCTGGAGAGGACACCCAGTCCTGGCCAAACATCTAAGACTAAAGAAGCCCCTTCCAAAAAGAAAGGCACACCAATCTCAAGGACAGTAGAGAAAGATAAACCAAAAGACTCGGAGGATGAAAAGAGCAGAACGAAAGTTCAGGACAAGAGTAAATCTTCTGAGAAACACATGAGCCAACACAAAATGGCAGAGGTCTGCCCKTGGGATATGGAGAGTCCACAGGAGGCACCCCTGGTAGAAAAAAGGAAAAGTGTTAATGTTGGAGCGGCCAAAACAAAGCAGGCAGAGGTGTGTCCATGGGAAATTGAGGATACGTCAAGTAGAAAAGGGACAGATAAAAGCTCTCCTGTAGAAAAGCAAAGCAATCCAAACTCTAAAGGTGGAGCTGCAGGTTCTGCTAAAAAGGCAGACATTTGCCCCTGGGACTTCGAGGAAAACATATCGAGCAAGAAGGCATGATGCTCAACCTAAAAAGGACCACTGAAAATACACTTATCAATGAATTCCTCTTTTTTCCACTTGGAAATTGTTAAACGTTACCTTTTACTCTTTGTACGGTAACTTGGAAGCAAAGTTGATCCACAAGTTGCCTTCCTTTCTGAGATTATGTTCCTGTTTTACATATTTTGGAATATGTACAAGAATTTTAAAAAAAGTCAAGATAAGCATTCCAGATTATGACAGGAAAACTCTGAACATAAATTGTAGACCAATTATGCAACTTTTCAATCAACAATTTCACTTTATGAGCAATCATCTCGACAGTTGTTTTTATCTCATTTGTCATTGGATTAAGAAATGACTAGACTGTAAAGGTAAAGAGAAGAATATATGAATAAACTTATTGAATTAAAGGTGAAGTATAACACTGCAAACAATGAGAGCCAAAGAATAAAGTAACATTTGCAAAGAGGGACGTTTATCTTAAGCCTGGAGATTTAATGAATTAGTTTGTTTTAATCACAGAAGGAATAAATTCCGTCTAAAGCACTTTAGCAAGTTAGATTCTGTCCTTGGTGCACATTTTGCTTTTTTACTTTCAAACTACTGACACATGGAATATTATACGTCAACCAAGTTCATACATGGTTCCTTATTTAGGATTCATTTAATTGTAGTTCTCTACAGATTGAAATGCTTCCGGTTCTGCAGAGATGTACTATATGTGCCTAAGTAACTAGCATTGTCTTGTATCTGTTTGGGGTGGGGGGGCTTCTTCTTCAGGATTTAGTGACAGTGATTTATATAAACAGCATGCAGGCATTGAGTAGCTAGACCGGACTGGTTTGTTCACAGATCTGAGGTTTTAGCTAACTAATAAATAGCATTAGAGACCAACAATTTTTATTTTTCTTAAATGGAAAGGATGGAGAAGGAGAAAAGCAGGTTTAGTCCGAAAGTGTGTCTTAATGGTTTGGATGTTCATGCATGTAAACTGTAGAGAAGAAAGTACCCAGAGGGAGGAATGTGCACCAGCTTTGTTTATGAATCCAGCATGGATTTTTATATTTTTTTTTTTATTGTTTGCACCAAATGTGTGTCTGTGGATGCAATATCACGAATTTACGAGAAAGATTTGATTCAGTAATCTAGATATATAAAAGATAAAACGTGTATAGGATCAAGTCCTGCCCTTCTATTTCCACTCTCTTTGCCTTAAATCAGACTTTTTGAATTGGAATTTTGTGGAAAGGTTATGAACAATAATATCTTACCCTTTGAATGTCTTCAGTTTACTAGTCTTCAACTCTGACTGGATCAACAAGCTAACAGCTACTCAGCGCAGGACAGAAAACAAAATAGACAGACTGAGTAAACAACTCCAATCTACTAAATTTCATAGCAGTTTGTGCAAATACTATTTTACAAACTTTTATATGGTTGCCAGTGTCACATTACACAGTTATACAGACTTAAATTTTATTACATTCCTGCTAGATGTGCCTCAGGGTGCACAGGAAGTGCTACAACTAGCTGTTACATTTTGCACTCTCTAATAAGCTTGGAGTTATATGTAAATAAATGCATGTAAGTTAAGGTTTATAAAATACCATTCACATAAACTGCTTTGACATATTTTGAGATTAAAGTTTTTAAAATGACAACTCTTTACTTTGGATTGCTCAGACTAGCTGTTAGCTTGTCAGCAGTCAGAATAAACATTTATTTATTTAAACAACTGTTTCTCAAACGTTATCTGCAACAGGTAAAATAATAATTGTTAATAACAATTTTGCAGATTATTGCGTAACTACACATTAAGCACTGCTACAATCAGTTTGGAGTGTATGTGTCTGCATTATTAGTTATTTATGATATTAAATGTAGAGCTGACTGAAGCCCACTCTAATTATCAAAATGTCCAAGTTAGGCTATTGTACAAAATGTTAAAATGTCCCAATAATCATTCTCCAGTATTTAACTTCAGGGTAAAAAAGAAAATTCCCCAGTTATATTTGACAAATTACTGTAACGTTTACAGTCGTGTCAAACTATCCATCAGTGTAGCATCTAAAGTGTTGTCTTATGTTTTGAGGATTGCTCATTTGTCACTGATCGTGTCTGTATTCTATTCAAAGACAAGAAGTCCAATCTGGTATAAATTGTGATTAAAAGCAGTGTGAAATGTTATATTTGTTTAAACCAATTAAATCAGTCCATTGACAATAACTTAGAAAATATTACTAATATGTAGGTCCACACATAAAAAATTACCCTTGCCACTGATAATTTGTCAAAAACGTGGATTCCTTGACCTCTGGTGTGAAAGTTGTCACCTTTTTTGTGAGCGTTGTGCACAGACTGACTGATCTATCAACTTGCAGGGTGCTTTCGAAAGTAGGATCCTGACAATGCTGGCACAAAAACAGCAACATTTAAAAAAAGAAAGAAAAAAGCCACTGCCGCGTCATATTTACTGCCCCATGTGATAAATACGATGTTGTTGCTGTTTGTATGGTAATTTGAAAGCAAGTCTGTGTAGTGCTTTTAGGAAAGCTGTTCCAGATGAATACATGTGTTTGTTGAAACGGTAATTGTATTTTTAAATTATCCAACATTTAACTAATTTAAGCCCTATTATGTTAGTCAAATAAAAAAAAATAATAAAAGAAAGAACCAAACCAAGCAATATGTAATAACATTTTCAAAGATGATCAAAAACGTTTTCCATGCATTTATGTTTATTTGAAGCTTCCAGGTGTTAAAAAAAAACTAAATTGTCTTAGGAGAAAATACCACTCGTGCAACGTCCCAACATCAACCTAAAAATATGTCACATTCTTTCATCACAGTGAATCCACTTTGTTATTTAGTTGACACTAGTTTCTGATTGTCTGCTTGCTGTATGAGTTCTTACCTCAGTCAGTTCATAAAAGTCTGTAATAAACTGTGTAATGCATAACTGGTGTCTGTTAGTGTCAGATTCTCTGGAAATGATCACTGCAATTTAACCTCAACATCAATGAATCGGTGCAAGTTTGAACCCCAGCTTGGGTGTGCAAATCCAGATCACTGTTCTTGTGCCATGTTGACATAGACGATGCCGTGTCTTGTAGCTTGTTGTCCACTGATCTTTACCCATGGTGCATTTCTGTTGACTAGCTGCTTTCACTTGAACCAGACTCTTTGGGGGGTTTTTTTTTTGTTGTTTTTTTTTGTTTGTTTGTTTGTTTTTTGTGACGGAACAGTCACCCTATGGCAAATACAACTACTACTAATGCTACTACTACTATTCAATGCTGTAACGTCGTAAAAGTTGCTCTTGTGGCTTCTGCATGAATTCAAGAAATTAGTAGGACCGATGTTTCACTGCCCTTGATAGAACAAAAAAAAGTACAAAGTTATATTTTATGGACTGTTACAAGTTGTATAGTGAGTGATACTGTCTCTAACCCACTGTATTCTGTGCTTGTTATGACTATTGCTCTAAGACAAGCTTATAGCATCAATATATGGGAATATTTGGTAGATTTATATTGTGTTACATTGTGATAGCATGTACATAAAAGATACCTCCTCTGCAATAAATATTTATATAAAAATGCATGTGTTCAGTGGTTTTGATTAGATTTGACTTCAGTAAAAGGTATGTCATTTTATGTTTGTACCATTCCCCCACAAACATAAAATAAAGCTCAAAAAATAGCTGATTTTGCATAATCTCCCCCCCACCCTTTTTATTTATTAACAAACTTTTTGTCTCTTCAGAGGGGCTGCCACTATAAAGTCTGACTTTTAGAAACACATTTTACTGTGGTATGAAGTTATGAACTGCACTAAACAAGAAGTGTACATTCAAAATAAAAGCGCATAACTTAAGACAGTAATTCAATTATTTCATTATAAAAATATTTTAAAATAAAATACAATCCTTTCTGCTGCAAAAAATATAATTGTGGTTATTTATAATATTGAAGAAAGCCAGGTTTTGCTGTTTTGGTCAAATCTAAAATTGAAGTTATGCTTGATCTTAAGCAATGTTTTGAGTTCTCAAGCAATCTATAAATGCTCAGAGTRTGTAATAGGGATGACTCTTAGCTACGACTACACCAACTTTTAGCTCAACATCTAAAAATCTGAATGAGAAGTAGCTATTTTCTGTTTTTTTCCTTAAGGCTGATTGCTGTGGCGCCCAACAAGTGATAAAAGGCTTTGATTTGCCAGTTGAAAAGAAGCCCAACTAAACAAAGATCCTGCTACATTTTCTGCTCTATTTTTTCTACAATATCTCAAATGCCTGAAGCAGCTGATTCAAAACACTGTCCTTAATGCTTTTGTGCACCTTGTCCCGGGTTTGTTTGCTTTTTGCCCACATGTTGGAAACGTTCCTGGCCTCTGAAGGCCTCATGCATGGTAACTATTGTAAAATATTTGAATGTTGGCCACTGTCCTAAAAGGATTGTTATAGTTTGTTGTGGTGACATCAGTAGTCACCCTGTAAGAAGCAGGAAGCATGCATCAAATGCTGACTCATTGCAGAAAAAAAACTTTATGCTGTTATTCCAGAATAATTATAACCCAAGTTGAATTTATTTCATTCCTGAGCCCAAGGAGAAAATGATTACCTGCTCTATTAACACTTTTCAGCCCGATTAATTTAAAGCATTTCATAAAAAACACACTGTACAGCATCACAAGCTCTTCAATCTCCCTTAGTATAAGTAGAGATAGATGCAACCAAATAGCACCAATAAAGGGGTATTGTGCAAAGCAAACATGTTACCATTGATCCAAGTGTGCAAGAGCACTTAAAAACCTTTTTGATAAAATAAAATATCAATATGAGATGGAGCAGGGAACAGAAAGACAGAAACATTAGAGCTGAAAAACTACGACACACATTATTAATGATCATTTTGGTATTTACAACAATGATATGGCAGTTTTGAGCATCTAATACCCAAACTGTTGAACTTTCATGATAGGTTGGTTGTTCATGTTATATAATTTAATTAAATAAAATTTATACATTTATCAAACAAGGTTGAGTCAGGTCCTCTGGATGGGTTCCTCAGCGCATCTAATTTATTAGATTTTTCCTGGATTATTGAGAACGCATTAGGACATTTTGCTATATTTATGCACACAATAAAAGGGAAGTTATTTGGAGAGGAGTAATCATATTTTTCTGCAAAATCTCATCAAAAGGTTTTTTTTAAACAAAAAAAATAGTTCAAACTTGTTTCTATGTATTGGTTTTCATATGTACTCCAATCTCAGTCTCCCTCTTTTTGTAACGTTCTCTATCTAAAGCCAATCTCCCTTCTTCCATATTTATAAACAGGGATGGTTCTAGGGTCAGGGCCACAGGGGCATTGACCCCAGCTGAAATCTGATCGGCCCCCTGAAGTGTCCCTGTCCTGTCRCTCATCTGTCATTTACCTGGGAGTGATGATGGTGGATGCAGTTCCATGTTCAAACACTAGATGTGCTAATGAGTCAAATAGTAAAGTCCAGAATGATTCAAGCTGATAGAATTCTTCTTCTCTTCTTAATAAAATTTGAACAATCAGTAAATGTATGAAAATGAATAATAAACTCTTATTAATAATTTATAAAGTGTTTACAGATGAATTAATAACCTATCTATAAACTCTTTAAAAGCCATCTATAAGGGGAGTCTTACTGTAAAGTGGTACCCTATTTAAAAAAAAATACATTACATTACAAGTGTTTGAACATGTATGACTGGTTAAATGTAAACACCTTAACAAAACTGGGGATTTGTGAAAGGATGCTGAACACAGACTTGGCCCCTYTATGAATATTGTGACCAATTGATGGCCCCTTACTCAAAAAAATCCCWGATCCGCCACTGCTTACAAACAAACAATAACCAAGCTTTTTATAGAAATATAGTTAAATCCTGGCTTCAAAAGAGGCAACACTATGCAGCAAACCGAGCTCCTCAGATCTCCCATTGTGTGTGAGAGAAACACAGTCGGACTCGGCGACGTTGCCTCTTTGTTGATTTGACAGGACAGCAGGGGGACGAGGTCCAGCTTGGCGGGACTTATTTTTAAGCATCAGACGGTGATTTGTCCATGAATCACAGCCTTTTTGAGCCACAGCGTCGCAGGCAGCGATGGACAGCGGCTGAAATTAGGGACGGGAGATGAGAGGCAGCTGATTGCTTGGTTCAGGCAGGAGTGCTCTGCAGCTGACTCATCCGTCCCTCAGACACAGGTGAAGCTGGGGGAGGGAGGGAGAGGATTTTGAGGACATCTCATCTTCAGTGGCGTTGTTCCATGACTCATACAGAYGGGGCGGGGGATGTGTGGGGTGAACAGAAGCTATGTGGTGGATGCACAAACAAAAACACACAATATGATTAATAATGTTCGTCTATCCATATAGAGAACAAACATGTAGTTTCTTCTACTTCTTTGAGGCTGTGTCAGGAAGGGGTGGAAACCTATTACACTTTTCAGCACTTTCTGAGGAATACCAAAATATTCCCAAGGTCTCATCCCAGTGGGATTTGCACTGAAAACCTGCAAAGAGAGGCTTCTGGAAGGCTTCTTGATCAAATGACCAAACAACTCAAACTGTCTCCTTGTTTTGCAGAGGAGCACAGTCTCTATTCTGAACTCTCCTCAAATTACAGAGTGTCCTTACCCAAGGCTACCTGAGCCGCCTAATGAAAGGTAATAAATAAAGAACAATAAGTGCTGACACTGGTATTCAAATTTCTATATTTTGATCTTTGGGAAGGCTGTGGCTCAGTGGTTAGAGCAGTCATCCTTCTAATGTCATTTATTCATCAAAAAAATACTCAGAGTGTTGCTTTGACTCATTCATGCATGTTTGAGAAATCCTTGAATCTCTTGTGGTAGAATGTTGATCTGCCTAAACACTCACTAGTACAAAGCACCGCCTATTTACCCAAAGCTCCTCCCTGGAGCTCAGTCTGTAGCTGAGCTCCTGCCCAGAGTTGTAAAGTAACTAAGTACAAATACTTTGTTACTGTACTTAAGTATAATTTTCGGGTATCTTTACTTTGAGTGATTATTTTTCAGTCTACTTTTTACTTCTACTTCTTACATTTTCACACAATTATCTGTACTTTCTACTCCTTCCTTTTAAAAAAAAGGCAAGAAGTAGAAATTTGTTATTTTTCTTTCATTTTTGCTCGTTTTCATTCAAACATGTTATTGTAAAAAATTAAAAATACTATCCATATAAACTGTGCCTCCTAGATAAAGTGAATTTAACTGTGGTTGAATGAGAAGTATAAAT